TTCTTATTTGGTTTCCATGTTTCAGCTCCGTATAACAATACTGGGCTGATTATTGTCTTATAAATTCTAACTTTGGTGTTTTTAGACAGTAACTTAGAGGACATCAGTCTGTTGCAAGCGTAGAAACATCTGTTTGCCAGATTTAGTCTATTTTGAATATCTATTTCTTCTTTGTTTTCCCTGGATAAGATAACCCCTAAGTACTTAAAATGTTCTACTTTTTCAAATGTATGGTCATCTACCTGCAGTGGGTCTTGGGCTATACCTTGATTTCTTGAAAATTGCATATATTTGGTTTTCCCATCATTTACTTTTAATCCTAATTGTCCTGTTTTGTCCATAAATATTTTTGTTAGTTGGCGTAGGTCCTCTAAAGTTTCTGCAAAAATGACGACATCGTCTGCAAACGCTAATATGTTAATTCTGGAGCCAATTGAAATTCCCTTATCTATTGTTGTCACTTCTTGTAGAGCTTCTTCTATTGCTAAGTTGAAGAGGATTGGGGAGAGCCCATCCCCTTGCCTTACCCCTGCATTTACTGTAAAGGGCTCCGAGACTCTCCCGTTTACTTTTACTGAACATGTGGAATTTGCTACAGTTGTTCTAGCAAGGTTTATTATTTATGGAGGCGTTTATGAGGTCAAAATTTGTTTTTCTAATTTTTAACGCTCAAAGCATAACATTCCTCAATTTATCTTTAAACCTTTTAATATAGTGGAAAACATATGATGTAGTATATTTAAGTGGTTTTTTACAGTTACCGGTTATGGAGAAAATTCAATAAATTATAAATTTTAAAATCCTATGTTATTCTTAACGAGAATAAGTAAACTGTTGTAGTTTGCTTGTTTATGGATATATTTCCATCGGCTTGCTGTGGCGGGGGTATTTTTATGGACTATTTTAATTCTTTATTGTTATAGAAAAAGAAAGGTTTCCATCCTGATTCATCCACGGACCAATATTTTTACACTACTGTAGCCTATATAGTGTTTTTGTACCATCTTACCTGTACTAATTGGGAAAATTATTGAATATACGAGGTAATCAAGACAATAACTCTTTATATGGAGGTTATATCGTCTGGATCTTATTTTTATTCGATTCAGCATAAAAAATAACCCCAAAAACATGGGTCGCATGCCTATATTTCGTCAAAATATAATTTTCAGTTTTTTAAACTGATATTTCCCCCCCCCACCCCCCCAAAAACACCCTTCCACCTAAAATATTTTTATGGACTCTTTAGATTCTTAATTCTTATGACAAAAGGAAAGTTTTCACCAAGTTTCATCAACGGACCAATTTTTTTGTTATTACATGCCTATTTTACCTGTACTATTTGTGTTGTCAGCTGAACCTAAAAACGTGTTGTATAGTGTTTAAAAGACTAATTATTTATATGCTTTATAGTGACTGTAGGAAAAATATAATGTGTAACACGAGTGCAAAAGGCCTTTGCTGCACTCGAGATCATTCCGCACTCGCCTGCGGCTCAGGTATGAACAGGGATGAGTGTAGGATGAATGGCGCAATCTTGTAGTCTTGTTACTGACTAAGGCCGACATGTTCCTTAGACAGGACTCAATAGCCCATACAGCCAATGGCAACTAGAAACCTACAGTTTATAGTGGAATCTGAACCACATTTTTTCCTTGTAATTTACGAATTGGTCGAATTACCACTATTATCAGGAGAAATTATATAGTCTAATTATAGTACTGCGGATAGTCATAGTACCGAGCAATGGCTCAGTCCCAAGGTATTTATTTTTAAAGATTATAGTTCCAAAAGTCTGACATTGGACCCCTAAAACCCTCTGGGGCGGAGCCCTTTTGACGGATCTGCTCCAAACATCACAGGCACCATCCTTGAAACATTCTTAATAATCCCTGAAAATGTTATTAAATTCTGTTGAGTTGAGCGGTTTTTGAGTTCATTGGCAACATACATAAAGTACTTCCACCTTTATATCCTGGGTGTCCAAAAAGTCCTGGGTTGTTAAGATATTTTTCAAAATTTTTAAAATAGACCTAAATATTGCACAATGTTACTAGCCAAAAAATCTATTTTATCACATATTCAGTGACTTCCTCAGGGGAACGGCCGGCTAGGAGTTAGACGAAAATCTGAAATGAAAGCATAGGTTGATATGCACATCAAATAAAAGGTCTTTATTAGTACAGTACAGAGCCACAAACCCGACCTTAAACGGATAACCGAGTCAAAAATGACAGACATTAGTATTCTACTAATTAAGACCTTTAATTTAATGTGCATCATATCGACCTAGGTGTATCATTACTTGTATGATTTTCTTCCGACTTCTAGCGGGCGTCCCCCTGAGGAGGTAGCGTATGATGACATTGCAAATTTTTGAACAGCTGTAATTTTTGACTCGGATGTACGTTTGAGGTCGGGTTTGCGGCTCTGTACTATACTTATAAAAACCTTTTATTTGATGTGCATATCAACCTAGTAGCGGAATACTGAATATGCGGTAAAATAGATTTTTATGTCCAGTAACTTTGTGCAAAGTTTTGTAGCTCTATTTTCAATGTCAAAAAATATTTCACCGACCCGGGACTATTTGGACACCCTATATACAGAATTAAATATCATTAATATAAATCCTCGCTTTATATATAGATGAGTAGGCTACTTAGGTTTGCTGCTGCAGGGAAGATAATAAGGGATTTTTTCAATTTAAATATTGATAGTATGAATAGTATGAAATAAACAAATTTGCCAAAATGTCATTAATATATGTCCATAAACAAGCAAACTATAAGGCCAGGCGCACACAGGCGATTTTGAGTTGCGCAACAGTTGCCCGACTAATCGGGGGACAGTTGCACAACTCTCTCGGAGACTCTGAAGTCTAGCGACAGTTGAGCTGGAGTGCGCACACAGGCAACTTTTTAGTCGCGGATCTAGTCTTGAGACGTGTTGGAAATACATTCGTTACAGCGTTCCGAATGGATTTCAATGATACAGCCGTAGTATGTGCTTTATTGCTGAAGTTTCGCTCGCGAAAGAAAAAGAGAAGATACTGGGTTCATCCCATATATAGGGAGCGACTTGTGAAAGGACAGTTTCAATTACTTTAAATATAGTCGGCCACTTCTCAACTTCGTCAATTAATTGTTCGACATCCTCATCACGCACACTCATACTTGTAATTTTCTAAAAACTTCACACAACAAGAGAGCAAACACTAGTGACAGTTCTGGCCACGAGTAGTTGAACTCCTGGGGTGAGACTGAGCGACACAGCGACTATTTAGTTGCATGTGTGCGCATCTACACTTGTTTCAATGGATACCAAACCTGGAGCGACAGTCCCGCAACAATTCAGTCGCAGAGCAGTCGCTGGCAAATTGGGTCCGGGAACATTGGTTGCAACAGTTGCGCGACTGTCCCCAGACTGTTTCCTTCGTGTGCGCACTCCAATTTAAAACAATGTTGAACATTTTAGTCGGGCAACTGTTCCGCGACTCAAAATCGCCTGTGTGCGCCTGGCCTAAGACTGAGTGTATTTATTATTTACTAGAGGTCCCCCCGTGGTCGAAAACTCGACCAAAAATATGTATTGTGCAAACTTCTCTATTTTCACGCCACGCTGTAAATAAAACATGTGATTAAAATTTCTTCTATTTGTTTTGATTTTTCTCTATATTTCTTCACCAGCATAGCATGGCAACCCAAAAGGCCCATGTTAATTTCTTTTTAATTTTAAATTAATTATTTGCGCTTATTTTTTAGCCTATTTAAATTTATAAAGGGATTCTGCACATCTACAGGCAAATATCTTTCTAACATACTGTTAGAATTTCTCTGCGATGTGCATGAGCTGAGAAAAAAAAGTTTTCATCACTCCTTAACGAAAGTAACTATTTTCGATAACAGCTGATATCAATGAAAGTAGTCGTTTCCCAAGCTCTAATTTAGGGCGAGGGAAAATCGATCAGCTGATTTTCCCCCGCTCTAAATTTACTTTCCCTCGCTCTCAATTAGTTCTCCATTTATTCACTACGCGCGCCAGTGTTTTGTTACGGTTTAATTTAATGATTTTAATCAGCTGTATGTATTTTTAAAAGTTGTGTTATTCTTTTATTTTGATGTTTAAACCAAATTTATTGAGAAATATACGTAGGTTTCTTTTTATAAGATCTTATTTTATTTTGATGTTCAATCAAATTAATTGAGAAATCAAATTGTTTTAATATACTGAGGTCTGCTATTCTGTGTTTGTGTATTTTTGCGTCGTGATGAAAAGTATCGTTCATAACTCGTACCGAAAGTTATTATCCGGCACTTGCTCCATTATTCCCGTCCTCGGCTTCGCCTCGTACGTGAAAATAGCTCTCACATACTCGGCTTCGCCTCGCACGTGAAATTGGGGTTCCCTGTGTTCGGCTTCGCCTCACACAAAAACTTGGGCGCGCGACGGAAAATGCCACTTTCGGTCCTAGTAATGAAATATACTATTTCAAGACAAATGCTCGCCTTACTATTACAGTAGTCCCGCAAACTCGGCGTAATGTGGACTGAAAGGGTGCCGAGTTTGTGAAATGCCGGGTTATCGGGAACTAGGCTTAACAATACAGTTTTGAAGCTTTTCAACCGCCTTTTTTATTTATATTTATATTACAAGTCAGTATTAAGTCATCAGATATAGCGAAAGAAGTCCTTGGTGCCTTAGGAAATAAAAAAATGTATACTGTACATACATATTTAACTAAAAAATCACAAATTTTCTGAGCCAGGTGATGGCCGAGTTATCCAGACTGCCGGGTTATCGAGTGCCGAGTTTGCGGGACTCTACTGTAATATATAGGAATCTCCATAAAAATAATATGGGTTTTTTAAATTTAAACATTTTTGGAATTTTTTTGTAAAACTTTTGTTTAAGTGCATACTTTTACATAAAGAACATTTTTTATCAACTCATCCAATTAATTATCGTGTTCCAAACAAATACTCAGCTTTGCGTTTCAATTAGATACCTATATTTTTACAAAGTAATAAATAATGTACATTTATACATTTACTTTTTACACACATCATATTAATTTATTATAAATACAAGATGATTTGCTTCATGCAAAATGAAGGACAAGTGAATACTGGTAAAAAAAAAAAAATTCACAAAATTCATATCAATATTTTCAAACTCTACACTTAAGATTGGAGCAAGTACAACATTTTACAACATGTTTAAAACTCTATTTTTTGAATTCTAACTTTGACGATGTTGTGCTGTAGTCTACGATGTTTTAACATGTCTCCTTTCTGTCGATACCGTTTGCCACAGATATCACAAATGTTGGGCTTCTCGCCAGTGTGGATTCTCTTGTGAACTGTGAGGACATGTGAGCGTCTAAATGCGATCCCACACACATCACAGCGGTAGGGTCGCTCTCCGGTGTGGATCTTGCGGTGTTGACTATACACATGCTGTGTCATAAACGCCTTGCCACAGAAGTCACACTTGTACGGCCTGTCCCCTGAGTGCTTCCTCACGTGCACATCTCTGTCTCCTTTTATCTTGAAAGTTCTTGGACAGAAAGGACAGTTGTACGGTCGCTCGTCAGAGTGGACCTTCTGATGAGTGTAGAGTCCCGAGCTCTGAGAGAATCCCTTCCCGCATTGGTCACATATGAACGGTTTCTCTCCTGTGTGCATTCTAATGTGTTTTACAAGGGCATCTTCAATTGAAAAAGATTTTGGACAGTAGTGACACTCGTAAGGCCTGTAGGAATCGTCTATCGGTGATAAAGATTGGTCGTGAGTGAGACGGTGGTCGGCAGCTTCCAAATTAGTTTTGAATTTCTTGTCACAGAAGCGACAATGATACGGTTCTTCACCAAAATGTACAGTAAGATGCTCTGAAAGTTTCACGCTGTTCATGAAACAACGTTCACAATACTCACACATATATACAGTAGGGACTGTAAACTCAGTAATGTAGTCTGAAACACCTCCTGTAAAGTGGAGTTTTTTATGTTCTCCAAGCAAAGATGCAGCAGAGTACCCCTCATTGCACAGTTTACACTGATACGGGTATTCCGGTGCATGTCGTTCCCTATGACTGTTGAGGTTTGCTGGGTCTGTAAAGCTCCTTTCACAATATTCACAGAGATAAAGACGTTTAACCGTGTGCATTTCAAAACTATATGTCGCCTCTCCGCTACATTCAGGAATGTGCATTACATCCATGTGGTTGACAGCATGATCTGTACTCGGGAATGCCTCGAAACAGAGCTTACAAGTAAAACAGGTTCCTTCTTGAGTTTTGTCTTTGTGAGTATTCATGAAGTGGTTCCTTAACATGCTTTTCCGAATGAAACATTTTCCACAGTATTCACAGGGATACGGCTTCATAATATCTTGACCTTGATGTGATCTTTGGTGGTATCTAAGGGAGCTGTTGGATCTGAAAACTTTGCCACACTCTTCACAGCAGTGTCCTTTATTCTGGGAATGTAAGTACATAGTATGCTTGTATAGTTTCAGTTCATCTGGAAAGGTCTTTTGACATATTTCACAGTATCCTGGTTTAGCACCTTCGTGGAACCTTTGATGAAATTCCAGTCTTGCTTCTGATCGGAAACTCTTGTTGCAATGAGGGCATCTATTAGAGCCGGAACTAGATCCGCAGACATGTGATTCTAGTTTGACCACACTTTTGAACCCTACACCACAAGAATCACATTGATGCAAGAAGTTACTAGTCTCCTTGTGATAGAAGTGATTATCCACAAAGTGTGTATCCAACACCGACTTGCTACTAAACCACTGTTCACAGAGAGTGCAGGGAAAACATTGAGTATCCGAATGGTCTTCTGAATGGTCTAGCAAGGCAGTCAATTCTGAAAATTCTATTCCACATAATCTACAAATTAATGACTCTTTTTCACCTTTTATGACAACTTTAATATCCTTCTTAGTGTCAATATTTTCCCAGGGCTCATCTTCTGGTATTGAGTCTAACTCCATTCCGACAATACTATCCGGGTCATTATAAAGTGTGTCCATATCTAAGTCAGATATTTTAAGAGAATAGTCTTGTGTTCCCCACATATGTTGTTGAGTGGGCTTGATGGCTTCTTTTTTTGTATTTTTCTTTTCATTTTCATTTTCTAAGACATTTTCATTGTCTTTTACAGCAAGATCAATTTCTCCAGGAAAACATTGGGAATGATTACCTTCTTTATATTCTTTGTTATCTTCCTTCCTAATTTCAGACTGACATGAATCATGTTTGATTCTGTATATGCCACTCTTTGTTATCATCTTTCCACAGCTGCACAATGGACAGCAAAATAAAGATTTTGTTTTGTTCGTATTTCCAATATCTAATAAGTTGCTATCTTGAGAATCTTCCCCATCCGAGGGCCCAAACGTTGAGCTGAGCAAATCAGATGCATGCAGCCGCTGAGAGCTGAAAAATTACAATCATGAATTCAATAACACGAAATATATTTTCTTGTGAGCAGAAAAATGAACAATTAACCCTAAGACTGGCAATATGACGATTTGCGTCATATGTCTGAGCTTCCAAAATGCCCATATGACATATAGTTGCTGCACTGCTGTGACAGGCTCGCCATTTCTCACATACTATTCATAGGTAAGCATACATTGTTTACTGTCCCATGCTCCATGGCTAATAAAATGACATTATATACATCAATGAATAACACCCATTCCCCTCGCTACAATAGCTGTCACACGTATATTACAGTCCACGGAATTGGCTAACTCTGGAACTCGCTAACCCCATGTAAAACGCCATATCTCCAAATTTGGTCGATGAGAGGAACTCGCTAACTTGTTCAGCTTCGGAATTGGCTAACTTCCGGAACCCGCTACCTCGCTCTAGAGCTGGGTTAGCGAATTCCGTCCTAGTACGGAAGTCGCAAACTCGGTCCCTCCGCAGAACTCGCTAACTCCCAATCAGCCTCGCGCGCCCTCCAATGGGAGCCAAGCACGAAGATTGTTGGCCAGTGTTGCCGAAAGTGTAGTACCTTCAATCGTATCGGTACCATAATGTTGTATCCTACGAATAATTAGGAGTAAGAGCAATGTAGTCGATAAAATAAATATATATTCAGAAGTATATTTATTATTATTCTTATGATTATTTTAGGGTGGAAAATGCATTGTAGTCTTACCATAGACTAACCAACACAACTACACAAGTAAACTTCACATCCCATTGTAAATTTTGAAGCTCTTTTTTCGTGTCTAGTTCATATCCGGTGACACTGATCGCTAGTGTCGATGAAATTGTTTTTCTATTATTTTATAGTTAACTTCATGATTTGTTCTCTACTGTTTGGTTATATAACTAGGGGGCGAGTTAAATGAATATAACGTTTTATTTGGTTAAACGAGGTTTTAAATGACTGAAACAAGAAATAAATTGTAAACAAAAGACGACCCCTACAGAAAGTCACCGGACAGAACTAACAATAAAATTGTCTTCAGCTGATACAAAAGGATAAAAAATATACTAACGGATTTTGTTTTATCAATGGTCTTCTTCCTTAAATAGTAGTTTATTGGGATGTAAAAAGATAGTACTGTACATTTAATTTGGATCTTTTTAAAGTTATGAAATATTTATTTTCGTAGCCAGTCATTTGTTTATTCTTTAAAGGCCTATTATATCTGTCGTGCGAGTGTTAACAATAGTTGGTTAGGAAACATATAATCTATTTTAAAAAATTGAAGCAGTATTGTAATAGTCTATCCTATTTGAGGCAACCAACAATTAGATGTTTTAAAATAAGCTCCATGTAATTGCAGTAGACCTGCCTAGAATTGTGAGGATAGACCTCCCGATAGGATTTACACGTTAAACGTCATTACAGAAATACATTGTAGTTTTAAAAATATTTTTAAATGAAGCTAATAAATTTAGATAAATATTAATAATAAATATTATATAGCCTAAATAAATATTAATACATTAAAAAGTGGTAATGTATATATGGATTGTATTAAAAATTAGTCTATGCATAAAGACAATTTGTAAATTTCTGTTATCGTAGGCTATTAGTGTAGAACGGGTTATCCTCTTAATTTTCTTTAATTAATATTAATTTTACGTCTTCCAGTAATTTTAAAAAGTCTGGAGTTTTTATGGTTCTAAATGGATCCAGGCGTTCTTGTTTGTTATATTTTTTTTTATATGGTGGCCATAGCTAAAATTAGCTGATATTATCCAACAACAAAGCTATTATCTATTGAGTAGCTCAGTACCGGGGAACGGGGAACCGAGTAATGGCTTATTATAGTTTATTTCGATTGTAAAAGCAAGTCGTTGATTCAGAATTGTGAAATAAGACAGCCCTGTCACGTTTTAATATAAAAATATTATATCTTCTCCTATTATTTACTAGTGGGGCTTAGGTTTACAATCTTAAAAACTGTTATCAAAACATGTAACATTATTACTACAAAAATTCCAACAAATTTTAGAATTAAGCTACTAGCTTTTACTAGTAGGCCTAAAATGCTTTGGTTTAAATTATTAGGCCTAGATTTACAGCTATTCTATAAATTGTTATGAAACATATGTCATATTTTCACACGTAAGTTGAACGGTCCAACGATAAACGTTTAATTTTAAGTCTATGAATTAGTTATGAAACTTACGATAGTTAATGACTGTACAAATTAATGGTTTTGGTTTATTACAAAATCGAGATTAAATTTGTTTTCCGTTTTTGAGAACTCACGTGTATTTTAGCTTAATTTCATAAATGTGTATTTGGTACTCATATTCTATTATTTTCCTATAATACTGGCATTTATATTTATGATTGAAATCATAAACATTTGACCGTTGTACAGTTACAGTAGACTCTCAGTAATCCGGCAGATATAGGACCGCCATACTGCCGGATCAGTGAAAATGCCAGATTACTGAAATGAAATGAAATGAAATATTCCTTTATTGTCACAATACATTTCAAGTTTTCAGCAATGCTGATGAAACAGGTGACATTGTCCATTATTAAAACTAGATTTACAAAACATTCCTATAAACTAATTAAATGTAGGCCTACTGTAATAACAAAAAAAGGATTAACTGTTATTCAAATATTCAGAAATAGACTCAAACTGTTTTTGTAAAAGATAGATCTTAAACTCGTTTTTGAATTTTGAAATATTGGTAATTTCTCTGAATTTGGCAGGTAGACTGTTGTAAAGTCTGAGACTCATATAGAATGGAGATCTTTCATACAGACAGAGGCGATGTCTTGGAAATTTAAAATTATTTTTAAAACGAGTCGGATATTGATGGATGAATTGATTGTTGTCGTATGATTGGTAGTTACTTTTGAAGGAAACCATCATTTTAAATATATATAAAGAAGGCATTGTTAATATGTCATATTTTTTGAAAATAGGTTTAAATGATGTTCTTTTTGGTGCAAAAGATAAGATTCTTAAAAATTTCTTCTGTTTTTTAAAAACTGTGTCAGCATATGACGTTGAGCCCCACAGTTCAATTCCATACTGCATGATGGAATAAAACATTGCATAATATACAGTAAGTTTAGTTTTCAAATCAATTATATTCCTTAAAACATACATTTGAGAACAGGCTGTATTCAATCTCTTTACTATCATGTCTATATGTGGTTTCCAGGTTAAATTTCTATCAATTATTAAACCTAAGAACTTTGTATGTTCAACAAAAGGTAAAATATCGCTTTGATAGCGTAATTCAAAATTTTGATTCTCTCTATTTTGGATTGTTTGAAATAACATAACCTGTGTTTTAGAACTATTGAGTTGCAGCCCATTTACTGTAAACCAACTGGACAAATCTATAAGTGAGCTGTTGAGTTCTAATTTTAGATTGGGTATATCTTTTGCTTTAACTATGGCTGTAGTGTCATCAGCATATAATATGAGGCTAGAAGATACATTTTGAGGTACATCATTCACAAAAATTAAAAATAATAAAGGACCTAATATCGAGCCTTGTGGGACACCACATTTAACTTCGTGCCAATTCGAGATAAACTTTTTGCCATTTTTTATAATTGATGTTCTTTGTTTCCTGTTAGTTAAATAAGAATCAATCCAAGACAAAGCCATGTCAGAAAATGAATAATGTCGAAGTTTGCTCATTAAAACGTCATAATTTACACAATCAAACGCCTTGGATAGATCACAGAACACCGCCGCAGTACTCTGTGATCCATCCAGGCCAGCCGATACTTGATTTATGAACTCTGAGACAGCCATTGTTGTGTTTTTTCCAGATCTAAATCCAAATTGTTTTTCTGTGAATAAGAAATTGCTTTCAAAATATGAATAAATTTGGTTGTATGCAAGTTTTTCAAAAACCTTTGATAAACATGGTAAAATGGATACGGGACGATAGTTTTCAGGATTTCCCGGCGAACCTTTTTTATACAGTGGTTTTAGTTCTGCATTTTTCAATTGATGTGGAAAAATTCCTTCATCAAAGCATTGATTAATTATTAGACAAAGCGGTTGTGCAATAAAATTTGTTATATTCTTAACTATTTCAATAGGAATCTCATCCCATCCAACTGATTTTTTGTTTTTTAATTTTTTAATTGTTTTTTTAACTTCTGATACTGTTATATGTCTGAATTGAAATTTTATATCCGAATTAATATAAATTTTATTTGCTAGCTCAGTTGCTGTATAGATACAGGAGTTAAAATTATTATCTTTGGAAACATTAGCAAATTTTTCATTAAAGAAGTCAGCAATGATTTGACCATCTTTTACCTGTTGATCTTCTACATACACATCCGGGAAGTCTACTTTTTTGGCATTTAAAACTCCAAGCTCAGACTTCACAACATTCCATACAGCTTTACTTTTGTTATCAGCACTTGATATTATCTTACAGTTAAACAATTTTCTAGCTTTATCACAAACAGTTTTAAATATTTTTCTGTAGTTTCGGTAATATTTTTGAAAATTAATGTCCTGGTTAGTTTTGGCAATAATACTCAATTGTCTTTTTTTGTTGCTAGATACTTTAATTCCTTTAGTTACCCAGCTTTTTTTAAATTTGTCTTTTTTTAACCTTTTTGAGAAAAACTTTAATGGAAAACAGTGGTCAAAACTAACTAAAAAGTCATGCATAAAACTATCAAAATTTCTCTGAGCGTCCTTTAGAAGTGATAAGCTCCAGTTAATTTCTGAAATACATTTATAAAATAAAGCCTTATTTGTTTGTGAAAACAACCTTCTTTTGCAATCTACCTTTTCATCTAACAATTTATTTCTTGGCATTTCAATAAAGAGTGCCCTATGGTCTGACAAACCTAATTCAAGATTCATTTTGGACCTCTTTACTTCTGGTCTCAGAACATCATTGGTTAAAATATTGTCAATGCAGGTACTAGTGCTATGTGTTATTCTGGTTGGTGAACAGAAGTTTATATTAAAGCCATACATATTAATTAAATTTAAAAACTTTGTTCTATTATTATGTGAGTATGAATTTGGTAAAATATCTATGTTGAAGTCTGCTGCTATGTATATCTGATGTGTTTTTATATACTTTTGCAGTTTACAAAGAACAGATTCTAGCTTATCTAAAAATTGTTTTAAATTATTTTCATACGGAGTTCTATAGATAGAAATTACAATAACCTTAGTAGAGGGTATTTCAATACTACAGACTTCAAAAGTGCTTTCTTCGTTAAAGATATAAAAGTCAGTCATTTCTTTAAAAATAAGGGTTTGCTTTAAGAGAATACAAGATCCCCCTCTCGCACCTCTATTTCTACAATAATATGCTACCAACATGTAGTTTTTAAAGCCAGATAACATACTTATTTGATTTGAATTCAAACAATGTTCATTAAAACAGATTATATCTACGTTCGAGTCTTCCATAATAATGTGTAATTCATGCATCTTTTTGAAAAATCCCCCTTGAATATTTAAGTGCATAAGAAAACTAATATTTTTATTTATGTTGCTGCAGACATCTTTACAATATTCCCAACTTACTGGAATGTTATCATTAAAAACACTTAAAATGCAATTAAAACACGTCTCCGAAGTCCGCATGATCGGAAACCGCTATTGCCGCGATCGGGCATGACAATTACGTATTCGCGGGAGGCGATGATAACGTCTACACGTCCGCGGGAGATAATCGTAAAATTGCGGCCATCGTGCATGACGACGATGACGTTTTCGTGACCGCGGGAGATGTTCATGATTTTGCCGCAATCGCGCAAAAGCGACGATGACGTTTCCGTGAACGGGGGAGTAGACAATGATGTTTACACGGCCGCGGGAGATGATACAATTTTTGCTGCGGCCGTGGAAGGCAACAATAATGTCTACATGACGGCGGGAGATGTTCATGATTTTGCCGCGATCAAGCTTGACGACGATGATGTTTCCGTGACCGCAGGAGGCAATGATAACGTCTATACGTCCGCGGGAGATGTTCGTGATTTTGCCGCGATCGTGCTTGTCGACGATGACGTTTCCGTGACCGCGGGAGGCGATGATAGCATCTATACGTCCGCTGGCGATGTTCGTGATTTTGCCGCGATCGTGCTTGACGACGATGGCGTTTCCGTGATCGCGGGAGGCGATGATAACGTCTATACGTCCGCTGGCGATGTTCGTGATTTTGCCACGATCGTGCTTGACGACGATGACGTTTCCGTGACCGCGGGAGGCGATGATAACGTCTATACGTCTGCTGGCGATGTTCATGAATTTGCCGCGATCGCACATGATGACGGTGACTTTTCCGTGACCGCGGGAGATGTTAATGATTTTGCAGCGATCGCGCAAGACGACGATGACGTTTTCATGACCACGTGAGAGAATTATGATGTCTATACGGTTGCGGGAGATAATCAGAATTTTGCCGCAAAAAAAGACGCCGGATTACTGGTGTGCCGGAGTGGTGCAGTGCCGGATTAGAGAGGGTCTACTGTATACAAAAAAACAATCAAATTTTAATGATTTTTTTATTGCATGTTTATTACTTTGGGCTAGGTAGCTGTTAAAAGTGGAATTGATAACAAAATCAATAACATTTACTGTATTTTTATTGACACTTGACATTTTGAAATACGACAGTGTACGATTATTTTGTCGTACAAGGTTGGCAACGCTCCGTGCAGTGGGCGCAGCCGGGTTAGCAACTTCAGCGCCGTCCTTAGGGTGGATCAAGTGGAGCGGTCGCTCCAGGCCTCGCGCCGGGGAAGGCCTCGCGCCGGGGAAGGTCTCGCGCTACTATCGCTAATAATAAGTTAAAGGTTTGGAATGAAAATAATAAAATAAAGGACAGACAGATACATGTGCCTAAAATATGTCTGATTTATTAAGAGTTATTTCAATTATTGTATTGATTTTATAAAAACCAAAGAACGACATTTTAAACACAAAATAATACAAAACATTGTTTGACAGCGTCGGCGGCGGGATGACGTAATCCGAGCCTCACGGCAGCACCGAGCCACCCCGGTGAGTGTGAGTGAGTCGTACAATACGCTTACTCTTACTGACACCCTTGCGGCGCGCCAACACCACTTAGCCGCAGCTAAACCTAACTTGTCATAAAGTAAATAAACAAGATAGCCTATGAGCATTACTATTTACAAAGTGACGGGACGACAATCCACAATGAAGAAAAGTGTTCATTTTTTTTAAATTAATGATTTAAAGAATTTCGTGTGCAATACTTATGAGATCCACTTTGGAATTGGAACAATAATACAGTAGAACTCCAATTATCCGAACTCCAATTAACCGAATCTCCGATTATCCGAATCGCTTACTTCAACAATTTTAAAAACGTAAAGCTACAGTAATAAGTTTTGCAAAATATCAAAGAATTGTTATTAAACACAGTTAGCCAGTGTGTAATTTTGGACTTTGATGGAACACCAAAATTACACACTGGCTAAACTATTAACTTAATAACATGTATAGAACACTTGTACTAAGAGCATTGTGAACTGTAAAAATTTTCTGATTTAATTTATTATTAATTAAAAGTTCACTTAGTACCGAAAATTAGGATTTATCTTTAAAATTCCCGGAATTCCGGTAAAACTCCGATTATCCGAATATTTGATTATCCGAATATTTGATTATCCGAATGGGGTCTGGTCCCTATTGATTCGGATAATCGGAGTTCTACTGTATGTGCAATTAGCATAATATTCACGCCCATTTTCAGAGTGTAAAAGATTCATTTTATCCGTCAAAGAGCTTAAAATGACGACTTTGCAAGTAAAATTTTACACAAATTTTCAAGGGGAGGGCCCCCAGACCCCCCGGTGAGCACAGATAAACAAGGCCTCGCAATTATGTATTGCCCCAGGCCTCGCATTATATAAAGACGGCTCTGAGCGACTTCCTGAGTTAGCGAATTCCGCCGCGGGACAAAATCGAGTCAGTGGGTTCCGGAGTTAGCCAATTCCTGACTGGAACGGTTAGCCAGTTCCAGAGTTAGCCAGTTCCGGCACACGACCGAGTTATCGAGCTCCAGAGTTAGCCAAATCCTACGTCTCGTATATTATCTGTTTAAAAAACGTCTGGTTCTTGTTGGTCACCCTATGTTTTTTTGTGTGAACAATATATGGTAGATAAACCATTAATAACATGGTTTGAGTAGGAACACTATAATGGTTGTTTATATTAATTAACTTTGAGAATTAATTTAGAAGGGGTTTCTCAAAGTCTTTTTTTTATTAAAAATACATTACTCTAGTGTATTTCAAGATTTAAAAAAAAATACCACCAACAACATGCAATGACAATTTTGTTGTTTTGAATAAGTTTAATTTTATTGGTGTTCTTAAAACAATTACCTAAAGTGCTTATTAGTGATCATGTCTTGAAGTTTAGATTCTGCTTTAAGTGAGGTTTCTGCCATGTCATGACACAGAAGAAGCTTATCATAACAAGATTTGCATATTTGTTTTGGCAGTAAATCTGTATCCCGTACCTGAAAATGTAAAACAAGTTTTAAAATAAAATTTTAAACACCTTGATAGTAAGTCTTGGGTGGGATTAAATTCAAACTTGGACTGTTAATGCGAGTAGACAGACAACCAATAAAAAAGCACATCTTAATACCTGGTATTTTTCAAGAAAATATCCACATCATAACACAATTGTAATTCACTAACACGTTCTTCACTCTTGCTAAGCCTCTAGTTACTTACATAAGTAAACAAACACAAAAATAAAGGTTAACCATAACACAATAAACAACAACAAAATACGTAAATAACAGCTGGTCATGTCGGCAATTAAGTATTTGGTTGTGAAGACATTCGCTAGGCTTCGCATGAAAATTGCTATCACAAAAATGCCTTGGCTGCTTGGCTGCAATATCTATTTTGCGTAGCATGTGTAATCTTTGCTAGTACCAAAAGTGGAATTTATGGTGCTCAAGTTTCATGTGTGAGAGGAAACTGAACACTGGAACACTAAATTTTACAGAAATAATTAGAGCAAGTGCCGGAAAATAACTTTTGGTACGAGTTATGAACATCAATCAACAAATATTTTCATTACAACACAAAAATAAATACTGACATACAGAATGACAGACCTTAATAAAATGATAACTAACAATCGTTTTTCTCAATTAACATTATTTTGATATAAAAATAAATAAAGCAAAAAGGTTAGCAAACCTACATAACAACGTGACATTTAGGAAGTTCCAAGTTCAAAGTCATATTCATTGTGCAGTAAAACACGCACTATAAAAAAAGGGGCAAAACTAGCTAATGCATATTTTTTAGTATATTTTGAGAGGATATCAGGCTTACCTGAATAGGAAAGAGTCCAAACTGGCACAAGAAACACAAAACTTTACACTACATACACAAATAATTAGAATATTTCACTGACAGCATTTTCAACTAAGGAAGAGAGAGTTATATAAGGAAACTCCCTCTTCCTTAGTTGTTGAAAATGCTGTCAGTTAAAATGAAATATTATAATTTTTTTATGTAGTGTAAATCTTTGTGTTTCTTGTCCAGTTTGGACTCTTTCCCATTCAAGGGGGACTGCTATCCTCTTGCTCTTAAAAAATCCTAAAAACCTAGGCCCTTGTGCTCTGAAATCAGAAATCAGAAACATTTATTGCCGAAAACATTACAAAAATGTATAGACCATCGTCAGGTACAATTTATAGCAAACATGAATTGCTTGTCTTAAAACAACCATTATCAATAAGAATCAGTCTTTAAATCGTCTTTAGATTTCTATCACAGAAGTTGATTGAAAAAAATAAACAAATGTCAACAATACATACAATTTTTTTAACAGTTAAAAAAGTCACAATAACAAAATAAAACTCAACAATATATACTACAAAAAAAATTGTTACAAAAAAATTTTTAAATCTGTGTTACATCCTTAACCTCAAACTAATGCAAATTTTTGTTAAAACTTTGTTTTGATGGACAACAAAAAAGGTGATTTCAATAATAGAAATAAATTGACGAAATTAAACAAACACTAATGAGTGTAGTGGGCAAATGAAGAACTGATTGAGAGCAAGGGAAAACGGCTGATTGTTTTCCCTTGCTCTAAATTAGAGCTTGGGAAACAATTACTTTCTAAAATATTTCCATCAAAATAAGACATATTTATTCTTAGGTGCTTAAGCCGGGTTTACACGATGCCAGTTGGCGAGACAATTGTCTTTGGCAATTGGCATCACGTGGTTTTGGAATTGTCGTAGGCCAGGCAAGTTGAACGAGAACCCGTTCACACGTGGTCAACACTTGCCCAGGCATTTTACAGTGAACCAGGGTACTACTGCCAAAAGACAAGACAGTGGTATTGGCCTCTACACCGTTTACACGACGCCAATTGTCACGACAACTGGTTTTTCGAGGGGTGGGGGCCTCACTGGGCCCAGCTCATTGTCCTCAGTCTACTCCCGGAGACAACTGAATTTCGGGACAATTGGCTTGCCAATTGGCCTGAAGTGTTTACACGAAGCCAGTAATTCCAAGCCAGTCAGTTGTCTCCTGACAATTGTCTCGCCAACTGGCATTGTGTAAACCCGGCTTTAGGTTTGCTGCTACGGGGAAGGTAAAGAGTGTCTTTTGACCAAACTTAAATAGTATAGGATGAAATAAATAAATTTGCCAAATTTGATCAATATATCCATAAACAAGTAAACTACAACAGTTTTCATTTTCTCCATAAGAATAACATGGGAATTTTAAATTTGCACTTTTTTTTATTTTCTCTGTAACCATTAGGTATTCAACAATGCTTCAATATACTAAATTATTTCTTTTTTTAAGCTCTACAAAATGGTTGGGAAATAAATGTTATGTTTTTAAGATCAAAATTGGGAAAAACCTATTTTTACCCCATAAAACCCCCCATAAACCCCCGGTTCGATCATGCTGGTTCGCGAACTTGTTTGAATAAATGTAGGTTTACTCGTTTATACCAAATTTAATCAAAATCGGATAATTTTTGTTCGAGTTATCGTGCTAACGGACAAATATATAAATATAGATATATATATATGAATTTGAAGGGATGGTGTTTTTGGCCTCTGGGGACGTCAAAAGGAAAAAGCAAATTGGTCCCGGGTCCAGGTCTTACCATGGGACCTACGGTAATAGCTTATTCCCTATATGGGAAATTCGCTAAAATACACAGATGAACTTTTTAGATGTATTTAAAATGTCATTTAGATTATGCTTGCTTTTTAGAGGTTATTTGCTTACTGGTTGTTAACGTACCGATCTACGGCTGTGGTTGGTGTAGAAACAACAATTGTGAAATCAGCTGATTCAGCTAGAGGGAATGATCAAATCCATTCCCGCTCTAGAGCAATGAGGAATTTTGCGTACTGTTTACAGGTACAGTAGAACCTCAATTAACTAGAGGCATGGTCAATAGTAGCCTCTTAAATTATGTTACATAACCTAAAAAATATCAAGAAAATTTTATAAATGGTGTTTCTTTAGCCTAATTTGTTTAAATGCACAGTATATTTAACTGTTTCTGACTATTTTTATATGCAGTAGGTTACCCCATTACTATTTTTGAAACATTGCAGTTAATTTGGCAAAGATAAATGGAAGGAAAACAAAGAAATTGCCATCTAGCTTCAAGGTCAAGCTATAGCTTGCACTGACAATCGTCTGCTGTGCCTAGCTATATCACAACATTTTGTGATTGAGTCATTAGTCACCATGGCAACCTGTTGAATGTGTGGATGAACAGATGAAACCAAAGAAAGAATAGAAGAACAAAGAAAATGCGGTTAATATCATTGCTATCTTTATCTTATTTTACGACTGTTGCTATTATCTTTAAGATTTTAAGTAGGCCTACTATGATTTTATGCCGTTTATGAGTTATCTAATGGTTTTAAGCAAATTTATTGTGTTCTGAAACAGCATAGCCTATGAGGACTACAGTAGCAGTAGCTTACTAGACTTTCTATTGTTCTGTTCTTTACGTGATTTATTGCTGTACACTGTTTAGCAATTTTTATTTTGTTTGAGTAAGCGTGATTTTAGATTTTAAACTTTACAGTTTTTATTACTGAACCAAGGTTAATGACTTAAGATATCACGATTACGCAATACTAGTTGAATTTTGATGATGTCAAATGTAAATTAATTATCACATTAACGTCCATTTATACAGTACTAGTGTCCCTGTTGCTCGAATTCGAGCAATTGCTAAGTATTACAGGCGTTTATTTTAAAACGAATAACAGTCATAATTTCTGATGACTCTAAAAAACTCGACTCAAAGATTATGGAAATACTCAAGATGTACATAACAGATCGATATAATCAACATTTCTTGTAAATATCTTATCATTTTTCAAAAGCTGATCTGGTCTTTTAGTGTTTTCTACAAATAGCCTTACTCATAGCCGCATTAGGTTGTCCGTAATTATGATTATAAAAAAAACATTATTTCCATTTCTTCTCCTTGGGTGTGTTCTATGACTTTCCTATGTTTCCATAGTTTGCAAATCGGCTCTTTCAATGATTACTAAGAAATGCAGCACAGTGTTAATTCAGTTTTCTTTTTAGTATATAAAATTATCTGGGCTCTCTCGCTTTTTTCCAATGTAATACTTACGCCAACTCAAATTGAAATAGTAAATATTTTATTTCAAGCAAGTCAGTAAATGTTTGTAGCAAACTGTTAAATTCGCAAACTTATTGACTGTTTACAATTAACATATGTTCTTCTTCTCACTTTTAATTTCTGACAACAGCTGGAGTTTTATAACAATTTTGGTTCCCACGTTAATCTTATGGAGAAATACAAAACTTTAAAGGGCTTCAGGGCCTCACTATCTTATTATTTCCCTAAAAAGAAAGTTTCCTGCACAACTTCACGTTACGCTCTTTCCAATGACACCAAAAACATGTCAATCGGTTCAGTAGTTTCGGAGGAGTAATTGTCACAAATAACCTGCTTGCGTTTTAAATAAGTATAGATTAGGAGTTTTTATGGGTTTTTAATGTATGTTTATGCCATGCTATATTAATCATGGTTTTCAGTCCCCCCCCCCATTCCCCAGATAAACGAGGTTCTACAGCATGGCAATGTGATAATTTCCATGCAGTGGTAGGAAAAATATTTTCAAGTATTTTATAAATGTGTCTTATACTGTACTAGTCTTTGCTCGGAGATTACACCCATGAAGCTCTATACTCCTCAACAAAATTGTGGATTTATAAAAAATTTACAGCTAAGTAAATACTTTCTAAAGACAACTTTTCTGTTAATGATTAATATCCATGACCATATGCCTGATGCACAATAGGCTATAAGTGAACATGCCTGAACCTAGGTTCCTCCCCTTTCCATCTATCAATACCACAAATAAAAATAGTAGTACTAATTAACATATTTTTACAATGATAACTATTGAATCGTGAGTTGATCTTTTAGTTTGCGTCGGTATGTGGAGCTCAGAGTATCAGACAAAGCCATGAGCTATCTACTTACAGTAACAGGGAGACATGAGTTTATCTTTTCTGCTATGTTCAATTTTATTCCGACTTCATCAAATATGAAGATGAAGTTAGAGCACAGCTGGGAGCAGAGACGACAGAATGCAGTGTTTTCAACATCATCACCTGTTAAAAGAAGAATACATAAAAATTAAAACTACTTTCTCCCCCTATACCATGGTATATAGAGAAAATATTGTTTTCATCAAAAATTTTGAGGTTGAGTTTTGGGTAGATGTATCCATTTTGGGCCTCCCTGAACCCAAGAAATATTATTATTCACTTTCCGAATATTTAACCCTTTGCGGTCGTATTTATTGTACTCTTCTTCTTCCCTATGGATCCCGGGCCACACTTAGTGGCCCTCTCCATTTTGTTTTATGACACAACATTGTCAGCGCTGAAGGTAGCCCCGCAACTCGGGCCGGCCACACAATTCCTGTTCAGCTCGGCTGGCCACCCCATAGTGGCTCCATGTTTCTCTTCATAATATTTAGCATTGTAATTTTGTTTTCAATTCTCTCTGCTTGGGAGGTGCAGTGCTCCCTCGACAATCATCGGAACTATCTGGAGATAAAAACAAGCCATTGTTTTTATGAGCTTATAACAATTTTATTAAATCATTCCTTAGTGAGTTATCAGCTTGATTGTGCAATAGTCCTTTTAAAGCCTTTTAATTTGTAATAAATTGATATTTATGATTTTAAATAGCCTCAAATAGAGACCTAACATTTGATACTATGCAGGATTTATTACAAGTCAACGAAGATGACGATCTTTCCATTTTGTTTGAGTTTGACATTGTAGGAAGATCAGCATTTTATTTTATTTTAACGGTTTTTATATACAGTACTACTTTATATTATTTCATTTTACGTTCTAAACTTTGGAATTAATATTATATCCTTATATATAATACGTGAAGGCGATTTCTACGAAACACTACACTACTCCTCCGTTAATAATGGACGGATTTTTATAAGCGATGTGTCAAAATGAAGTATTTTTTGTGTAGACGCCCCCTTTCACCAATTCCTGTAATCAAAGTCCTCGGGCTTTGCCCCACAGGCCATCAAAATGTTAGGTTAAATATCAGTATTTTGGAGTTAAAATGCTCGCAAAACGGTATTTAAATCCGGGCGTAAGACGTAAACAAGAGTAGTAATAAATGGCGGCCAAACTAGGAAAGGAGGAGGGCCACTATGAGTGGCACTGTCGAGCTATAAGCGCGTTGCTTTGTATTTATATTACAACTTGTCACGTTACGGATCTCGTGGCCACACACGTGGTGGCCTTCCGACTGCTAAGTGTTAAATGATAAGTAAATGTATTTTAGTTGAAATAAATGTAGTTTTGACTTTTATTTTGTACTAGCTGCTATACCTGTGCTTCGCAGCAGAGAGGACACTGAAGAGAAAAATTTGATCTTTAAATCTGTTGTATAAATTAGTTACACATCCAACATTGGTTTAAGGAACAATACCCCCGCCGCAGGAAACCTGCAGACTAAGCAAATTTCCATTTGCCTGATTGGATTTACACTAAAATGTCTCCTTAAAAATATCACATTTATTCCCTGTTTAATTAACATTAGTTTAACGAGTACATAGGTTTGCTGCAACAGGAGGGGGGGGGATAAAAAGGTGTTTTTTTGTAAAATGTTAACAGTTTGGTATGAAATGAATACATTTTCTAAATTTTTTCAAAAAATGCTCATAAACAAGCAAACTACAACAGTTTACAATTCTCTCCTTAAGAATAACAAAAGAATTTTAAATTTACAATTTTTTGCAATTTTCTCTGTAGCCATTAGGCACATAATAACGCTTCAATATAATAATTTATTTGTTTTTATGCTCTACAAAATGGTTTGGAAAGAAGTTGCTAAATTCTATGTTTTAAGGGTCAAAAATGGGAAAAACCAATTTTTACCCCATAAAACCCTGTTCCCATAGTCCGATCATGCTGGTTCACGAACTTGTTCGAGTAAACATAGTTTTACACGTTTGTAAAAAATTTCATAAAAATCGGATAGTTTTTGCTTGAGTTGTTGCACTAATGGACTACATTAGGGATGGGTCGGTACTTAGGCTATTTGAAAGGAAATATTTATTACAAAATATTATTAATAGTAGGCTATAGGATGATTATATCAGTGTTAGTTGGTTAAGTTGTCGTCAATATCCTCAGATGATAGAGTGGTGCAATTATCGACACAGCTTGCTCCACCATCTTCAAGCAGAAGACAGAAGGCAAACTTAATAAAGACTGAATCAAATAAATAACTTATTTTGACTCAACAAAATTATTACACCACCTTAAAACTATCCTTTCCTTATCTGATATTGATTATTAGTAACATTTACAATACTGTAGTTACAAGTAACAAGATTATCTATATATTTAATACGCTAGGCATATTTTTATTTTTGTCATAATTGTTTTGGAGTGGTGGTACTACTGATCACCATGTCCAAGGTGTCGTTAGAAAGGTCTTAGCATGTAGTGTTGCCATCAAACAAAAAAACTGGAATTCCATCAGGGATCTGCCCCAGTGGCCTTCAAAGTTCTCATGTTATTCTTAGGGAGAAAATTTTTGTTTACATTTGAACAGATGAATACTTTAAAATTGACACTAATATTTGAAACAGCTGGTTATAGTAAAATTGGAGACATGTACTATAAGGACTTATTAGATTAGTTGAAAAGATTGATGTTTCAACACTGTTTTAAACCAGTTTTTATTTGCACAAAATCAAAACATAACCAAAAAATGTTCGACATAATGGAGACTATAAGACGTTGACAAGGACAGCCAATAGGAGGAGGCCGACGAACTTTAACTGGTAGACGCAAACTAAATACAAATAATACTATTGTCGTTGATAGCCGAATACAGAAAGCACCCTTCCGTGTTGGGTTTTAGTGTGCTCTCCAACAGCCGCCTGAAGATTTCACATTCAATTTAGGACTGTTGGATAATCGCTGCATAAGCTGTTGATTTTGGAAGACAAGGAGGCGGGTAGGACTACATCGGAAACAGAAGAGAGGAGATATTAGATGAGTGGCAAATGCGTTGGGAGCAGAGTGTTTTATGTTAACGTTCGGATATATACCTAACATCAGAAAGAGACTGGAACAAGATTGGGAGATGGGCCATTATAAAACGCAGTTTGTGACAGGACATGGAAAATTTCAAGGCGAATTTGTGGAGATTTCACCTGGTGGAAGAGGAAGTATGTAGATGTGGATAAATAAAAACCATGAGTCACATATTTATACATTTATACTTCAGGAGATGAATGGGAGAGAATAGGAATAAGTCTTGGATAAGAGGGGTCTAGAGATGAGAAAATAAAACATGATGAGTGACAAGGAAACAATTGAGACGTTTAGAAAAGTACTTAGGTAAATAGGAAAAACCAGGGATGGTGTGGTCCTTGATGAAAATCTTAACTACCACAAACATATCAAACATGTCACAACAAAAATATCAGTTGGTATTTCCATGCTACGTATGCTTAGCCAACAGTAAATTCAGAAGTCCTCCTGTCTGCTTATTATGGGCTTGTATATCCATATTTATCCTATGCTGTCCCTGTCTGGGGTAGTGAAAGTGAAAAGAAGAAGTTTCTTTTCCGACAACAATTGAAAGCCATCCGCATCATATTTTCCCTACCTAAACAACAATCCTGCAAAGACATTTTCCAAAAATTCCGAATTCTAACCTTTCCATCCATATACATTTTCGAAACACTATCCTTCACCAGAAAAAATAATATATCTTCTTTTTGTTCACAGCTCAACAATAGATATCCACTTCGTAATTCTTCCGACCTTGCAATTCCTAAACACTCAACTTCCTTCTTCCAAAAGAACTTTCAATACAATGCCGTCAAGCTTTTCAATAACCTTCCTCCTTCCCTAAAGACCGAACAGGATTTAAATAGATTTCAGAAAAAACTAAAGAATTTTTTGCTGGATAATGCTTTCTGCAGCGTTCGTGAATTTCTTTGCCCTAGAACTGGTGGGGTAAATATAGTAGCATAGTTGACAGTTTTAATTTATACAAGAGAGTTTTTTTTTTTGTTATGTAAATATTGTATTTTATTTTGTTTTGTTGACGTAGCTAATGCATTTTATGTTAATTTTGCTGAATAAACGACTTATGACTTATGACTTATACATACAGGCTTTTAAATTTAAAAAAGAAACAAACAAAAACTAAGATAGCAAAGGAATGAAAACTTGCCCATGAAGGGCAAAAAAAAAAAAACAGTATATAAAACACAGTTTTATAAAACAGTGGGATAACCTCACTTCAGTCAAGGAACACGCTGCCAGTAGAACTGTCAGCCGGTAGAACAGTTCTACCGGCAGCGTGTTCCTTGACTGAAGTGAGGTTATCCCACTGTTTTATAAAACCATGGTTTTTATCCCTAAACTCCGAATATTATTTATGTCAATTGTAATGTGTGTCGTGTTCGTGTTAAATGTCAACATTTCTACGAAACCCATCGGGTGGATTTTAGAATAAACATTTGGTCTACCTAAACTTCCGACTGAAGATGAACCTACGGGTTCGAAATTAATATCGGACAACCATAATAAGGATTGCTAAGGTAAGAATTTACTATTTATTTGATTATATAAGCAATCCAGAGGCTGAAATGATAGATTAAAATAACACCTCTAATACTTAACAATTGCTCTAATTCGAGCAACAGGTACACTAGTTTTATTTAATTCATACAGTTCTTTACTTTGTTTTGTATGAACTATGGAAATATAGAAGCAACATTAACAGTGCTGAATGTACAACTCGAACCTCAAACTCAGTCAAGTTCACTCTAACTGTTTGACTCAGTCCAGTTATTAAGGATTAAGTTATTAAGGCTGAATATTTATTTTTATTTCCAGTGGTTAAATGTTAAGGTACCCATCAGTCATGATTTCGACGAGTCATATTGCATTCAATCTGTAATCCCCGTGACAAATGGCAACACTGCACATTGCGCAAGACTAATATTTCAAATTTCAAGTTAACAGGTAAAATTTATTTATTAATGGATGAGACTAAGTTACATGGCTACTACATGACAAACAGCCAAGCCTTCATTCAGCAAACCAAAAGGGGCTTTTATTTCTTATTGTTTGTATGTTCCGTGGTTTGTACTTAATTTTGTTTTTGTCTCTCTTTCTCAAAACGTTAAACAAGGTGAGAGAGTTTAAAATGTAGTTTGGCTTTCTGTCGTCTGTCTAGTTTCTTCGAAATTGAAGAATGGGGAATGGGCTTTTGTTTTCGTCGGATTTCTTAAATAAAATTTATATGTTGATGTTGATGATTAATCTTGTTTTGTATGTAAATAATAAGTGAAAGTGGATTAGTTTATTACAAGCATGCGTAGAAGTAGGCCTACCTTAAGTTGTTGTTTTTATATATTAATTTGTGACAAATTCTTGATAATAGCTTCCCAAGTTTGGAAGTATTTGATTAAAACTGATGAAGCAAACAACAGATTTGCGAAATAGTTATCTCTAGAGGTGCAGTCTAAAAGCACTTATAACCTAAACCCACAATACCGGTACAGGCTATAGGCCTAAAAAAACCATCACAGTCGAGTCACCAAACTAAGTCTTGGTTAAATCTTTTTTTTCAACAAGCCTCCACCTTAAACTGTAACCTCAAATGAATATGTACTTAGGCCTATTTTCTAAACAGTTTAGTTCAAAACGACCTTTCCATAAATACTTTTGTTCTATATTTCCCTTAATAATGGAGCCTAAAATTAACTTAATGCAGGCTATAGGTACAAAATGACTCAATATTATTTCCTTCAAAATATTTAGCTAGAACTTAACAGAAAGTTAACTTAGTTTAACAAATTTCCAGAGCCCCTTTTATTTCCAAGGTTAGTAGCCTACGTTAAATTTATTGGTTTAATAGTGAATTATTTCAACAAATAGACCTATATTTAACAATTCTGGTTTGATATATTTGGTTTTGATTTGAATGTGTTTGGTTGTCAAAGTGTTGTTTTTACAAATAGGCCTAAGTTTTATTTTCTTGATTCCTTAATATAACCAACCTAAACTTATGAAAAAATCAGTTTTAAGTTAAACATTGAAATAGGGATATTATTTTGTTTTTAAAATAAAACAATTAAATAGCCTAATTTAAAATTAGGTATCAATGGTACCGGAACGGAGAACCGAGAGTCGATTTTGGTTAGGAACCGTTACCGGAACCGACATTGAAAAAGTAGTACCGGACCCATCACTTGAACGGAATTAAAATGATAACGTAAAATGTATAACTTAAATTGATAACGTCTGAAACTGTTGTGAAGTTACAGCCAGTAAAAAATTGTGTTCATGATATTATATATCTCTGATATGACCACACTTGTCCAGTAAACACATATTTTCAGGACTAGTAACGTAATATACTATTACAGCTGACTTTAAATTAATATTTGACTATTTACATTCTTCCGAAATGTAAACATTTAAACTTTGGAAGCCCATGGGGTACAATTTCTACCTTTGTAAGAAATTTTATTTAAATTGGTTCAGTGGTTCTGGCGTTATTGATTAGCAGACACACAGACACACACACACACACACATACACCATCTCATTTTAGCGAATTTCCCATATAGGGAATAAGCTATTACCGTAGTACTCATGGTAAGACCTGGACCCGGGACCGATTTACTTATTCGTTTTGAGGTCCCTAGGGGCCAAAAACACCATCCGTTCAAATTCATATATATATGTGTGTGTGTGTCCGTTAGCAGGAAAACTCGAGCAAAAATGATCCGATTATGATGAAATTTGATCATACATCTTTACTACAGATCAAGACCTTTCTTTAGACACCCCTACCAAGTTTTCTATGCCCAGCCGTTCTCTCAAACATAAAAAACAGTTTATTTTTTTTCTTTAATGATGGTAAGAATAACATGGGAAGGGAAATTTAAATTTTAACATGGGGCAGAGCTCCAAGAGAATTGACCTCGTTTCTCTTTTTATGGCTTATCTACAGACCAAGACTTTTCTTTAGACACCTCTACCAATATACTATTACAGCTGACTTTAAATTAATATTTGACTATTTACATTCTTCCGAAATGTAAACATTTAAACTTTGGAAGCCCATGGGGTACAATTTCTACCTTTGTAAGAAATTTTATTTAAATTGGTTCAGTGGTTCTGGCGTTATTGATTAGCAGACACACAGACACACACACACACACACATACACCATCTCATTTTAGCGAATTTCCCATATAGGGAATAAGCTATTACCGTAGTACTCATGGTAAGACCTGGACCCGGGACCGATTTACTTATTCGTTTTGAGGTCCCTAGGGGCCAAAAACACCATCCGTTCAAATTCATATATATGTGTGTGTGTGTCCGTTAGCAGGAAAACTCGAGCAAAAATGATCCGATTATGATGAAATTTGATCATACATCTTTACTACAGATCAAGACCTTTCTTTAGACACCCCTACCAAGTTTTCTATGCCCAGCCGTTCTCTCAAACATAAAAAACAGTTTATTTTTTTTCTTTAATGATGGTAAGAATAACATGGGAAGGGAAATTTAAATTTTAACATGGGGCAGAGCTCCAAGAGAATTGACCTCGTTTCTCTTTTTATGGCTTATCTACAGACCAAGACTTTTCTTTAGACACCTCTACCAAGTTTCTATACCCAACCTTGGATTACTTGTATACCCAATACTTGTATTACTTAATTAATAATAAAGATCTTGAATCTCTTAAAGACTTACCACTTGTCTGCTGAAGCAGATTAAGAGCATCCAGAGTAGGTAAGGGCAATGTGATTGGTAAGTCAGTTTTCAAGGTTGCCAATCCAGATCTGATAGCAGGTTTCCGCCTAACAGCAACTGGATCTAAAAAAAATTAAATAAGTGTTTTCAAAATTGTGCATAAAGCTTATCTATCAGACTAGCTAAAAATTACACAGATATATATAAACTATATCTGGGTCCCAATCAAACTTGGGAATAAAACTAGTGGCTTATATAAGTCCCTAAAACGCTCAAATGTAAAATCAATTATTGTAATATTTAAACAAACTAAGAATCAAATGATTTTTGTGTCACTATAGATATCCCTGTACACCATATCTTTAGTGTAAAAAACAGCCCCTCTGTTCGATTTGATTGTTGTTATTTTAAATACCTTAATTTGATTTGTTCCAAAGTTTTAACTCTGCTAAAGGCAACAAACATATATGTGTTTGTTAGTAAATACTGGTCTACTAAAGTAGCTTTGGTCTTGTGGTTAATGATAATAAAAAATTCTTACCTGATTAGAGTTTTGAAAATTGTATTTGTAAAATGTGAAAATATAAGGGTCTCTTGAGATAAGCTTAGTTCTTAGTAAAAACAAAATTTTCAAATGTAAGCCCCTTTTGAATTACAGTATACATAACTGTATATGTCATAGTAAAAGAAAAAGAATGGCGTGATTATGTGATTAAGTACCTTGATTAAATTTGATTTAACTGCTCAGGTCACAGGTATTTTCCAATCTCACGTTAAATCCAAGCAAGGGGCAAGGGGGGGGGGTAAGCAAGGGTAGTGACTCTGCTTGTCCTCATTTGTAAGGCCATCAAGCTTCGAGATAAAAGCTCTGTTAGTTTGCTCCCGGCCGCGACCCTTTTCAAATTGTAATACAGCTTATTTTATAGGCCCACTAGAGAGAAGCACTAAGGGTAGTTTGGGTTTAAATAATTCTTTTAGGAAAAGTATGTAATTTATAACCTGAAAAATAGTTTGATCAGATAAAGCTAAGGTAGAAATGATTTTGTTTTGGCAAGGAGAAATTTACACGAGGCCGAACGTTTATTTAACAATGCACATCCAGATAGGCCAACTGACAGGGCATACATTTGTCGTTTGGTTCAAAAAATTTCAACCACACTCAGTATCAAAGGTGCCCAAGTTTGGGTCAGGACAGAAGCTATGCAAGTTGACATTTTAATAAATTTTGCAGCATATCCACATCAGTCTCTTCGTTCAACGGCCCATGAATTAGGAATTTCAAAAGATTTTGTTTATCGCATATTTAAAAGACATAATAATATCATCCTTATAAAGTCTAACTTCACCAGGAACTAAATGAGGACTATCCTCACTGAAGAATTCAATTTTGTGAGACCATGTTGCAAAAGATCTTATAATTTAAAAAATTTGGCTTTTCTTTTCCGAGTTAGTTTGGCTCTTATACCCAACCGATTTTCATGATTGAGGTCTCAAATTGAAGGTATGCACGCACAGACTTCACTTCAAGCATCGGCATATTTTTATCCACAGTCCCACTCGGCTTGTACGTAAACAAAATTTGCTCCCCATGTATTTCTTATGGGAGTTAAATTTAGGTTTTCTTTTCGAGAGTTCGTTTGGCTCTTCTACCCGAGCAATTTTCATGATTTTGGTCTCAAATTGAAGGTATGCACATACAGATTTCACATCAAGCATTGGCATATATTTATCTTCTGTATTACTAGACCAATGTTATTCAATTCAGGCGAGTTTCAAGCAAACGCAAGGTGAACTACAAATATAAATATTATTTTTTATAAGGTTTTTCAATGATTAAAAATAAATAGCTCCAGTATTGTTTATGTTTTAGTGAATTTCCCATATAGGGAATAAGCAATTATTGTAGGTCTCATGGTAAGACCTAGACCCGGGATTTACTTTTTCGTTTTGAGGTCCCCAGAGGCCAAGCACACCATCGGTTCAAATTCATATATATATATATGTATCTGTTAGCATGATAACTCGAGCTAAAATGATCCGATATTGATTCATAATTTCTCTCCAAACCATTTTGTAGAGCTTAAAAAAAGAAATAATTTTGTATATTGAAGGATTGTTGTATGCCCAACGGTCACAGAGAAAATTTAAAAAATTTAAAATTCCCATGTTATTCTTAGAGAGAATAAATAAACTGTTGTAGTATGCTTGTTAATGGATATATTTTAATCAAATTTTGTTAATTTCATACTAAGTTATCAACATAAAAAAAAAAACACACACACCTCAATATTTTCCCCGTAGCAGCAAACCTAAGTACTCACTAAAATTAATTAATGTTATTTAAATAGGAAATAAATCTGAAAATGTTTAGGGAATATTGATTAGAAATCAAGCCGGGTAACAGCAACAAAGAATTAATGTATGGGCGGGTATTTTAAGGGACTCTATTGTAGGACCTTTTTTTATTGGTGGCAATTTAATTGGAGACAAATACTTAGAATTATTTGAAATTACATTATCCCAGCTATAAATGACATAGCTCTAGAAGGTGATTACGAACCTTTTTTTCAACAGGATGGTGCACCACCTTATTTTGATGTACGAGTAAGAGTTTTTAGACACTTTGGCAGACCAGAATCGCACCACTGCATTTCATCACATTTAGCAGTGCAATCCACTTTGCATTGTGCTACGGTTTACAGTTTGGTTACAAAAGCCAACTATTTTGGTAAACCGGACATATCTGACTACACAACAGCTTTTAAAGATTTGACTACAGATTTCAAAACCAAAGGGCTAAAACCTCTTATATGCTCTCCCATCGGATGCGTAAGAGATAAAGTAGCGCTACCCCATTTCTTCAGTAACCTCAGAAGTTTTCAAGAATCTACAGGAGCGAGAGTAACTATTGTTTCATACTATCAAGAGTCCCTTAGACAACTAAGAAATGGCTTAACACATAGTGAATTTAACAACAGAATCCAGTCTTTTATTGATAACAACTTTAATAAAAAGGAAGAAGTGAATGTCAGTGCTGAATCATTAGAGGATAGGATGGCAGCCTGCATAGGATCACCTGTCCAGCCAACACCATATACAACAATAGATTGTAGGAGCCCAGACCCGTCATCGACCTGTCCAGCACCGCCTGCCTCAATAACACCTTCAGCAGCCCTACCAACACCTTCGACGCTGACACCTACCCCACCATCACGACCTTCAGTGGCAGCTGTGAATGAGAATGTGATCAAAGTAGTGCCCGGCAACTTCACCTTCTGTGAGTTGCTAAAGCAGAGCAAAAGTGATAGGCCAAGTGTGGAAGTGAATAAAGCTAGTTATGTACCACAATTGTTAAATGTAGAGGTAGATTCTGCAATCCAAAACGATACCATTAATTTTTTAGTAGATCAAGCAGCCCCATTGTAAAAATAACCTTAGAATAAACAATTTATGTATTTTTCATCAAAACATTAGAGGGTTGCAATCATCAATTGAACCTTTAGAAGTAACTCTAGCTGAACTAACACCTAGTATTGTTGTCTTGACAGAACATAAAATGATGAGTTCTACTCTGGAAAGACTAAATATTAATGGTTACAATGTCGCTGCCAGTTTTGGGCGGAAAAAATCTAGAGGTGGTGGTGTAATTATTTTAGTAAAACCATTTTTTACCTTTAAAGAAATTATAATACCTGAAATTCAAAATCTCGTCACTGAACAAATTTTTGAATGTTGTTTAGTAGAGGTAGATAAAATTATCCCCAGGGAAAAACTTATTATAATTGGTTTCTACAGGAATCCAATCAAGCAAAATGAATCTGAGTTTATCAAACGACTCGTTACAATGCTTGAAATTATTAGTTTTAAATACAAATATGTGGTTTTTATGGGAGATATTAATATTGATATGCTGAACTTAAATGACACCAGCAGGAAAAACTTACTGCATGTTGTAACAGCTAATGGCTTCCGGTCATTGGTTGATTTTCCTACAAGAATCACTGATACAACTAAAACTGCAATAGATAATGTTTTTACAAATTTAAATAGTGGCTGTTATAAAATCACGGGTATTAATACACAACTTTCGGACCATGATGGCCAAATAATTGAAGTTTTTACTAATACAAAAAATAGCCTGAATAATTCTTCCGTTTATTTTGAACATAAAAGAAATTTTAATAATAAAAACGTCGAACAATTCATATCTGCTTTACAACATGAGTCATGGCTTAATCTTTATTTATGCCCTGTAGAATGCAAGTATGACGTTTTTTATGAAATATTTATGCATTATTTTAATACATTCTTTCCATCAACTCTCTCAAGACAACATACTAACTGCAAGTGGATTTCTAATGAACTGAAGTTGGAAAGACAAAATATTATTAATCTTAACAAAGCAGCTAGAGAGTTAAATAGCAAAAAAATGCTACAGGAGGCTAGAGAAAAAAATAAGCAGGTTAGAAAAAAATTGTATTCTTCAAAAAAACAGTATTATAAAAGAAAAAATTGGTAATTCTGACAATGTTAATAAGGTATCTTGGAAGATCGTGAACTCTGAAATAGGAGCTAAAACTATAAATAATTGTAATATAAACCTAATAGTAAATAATGATGTATGTTCTGACCCTTCCCTGGTCTGTAGCCATTTCATCAATTATTTTGCAGATGTAGTAAAAGAAACTGATACTTTCAATATAGATTCATTCCTAAAAACTGTTGATGACACTCTGCATCCTGTACTTTCTTCAGATAAAAGGAGCTTTAAATTTAGCTTTGTTGATGAGAGAGATATTGATAAAATTATTAAAAGTCTAAAAAAACTCCTATAGTACTGGCTACGATGGTATTCCCATGGTTCTTTTTAAAAAAGCTAAATTAGTCCTACTTAAACCAATAGCCCATCTTATTAACTCATCTTTGATATCAGGAATTTTTCCTAATAAACTCAAAATTACAAAATTAAAACCAGTATTCAAAAAAGGAAACAAACAAACAGTATCAAACTATAGACCTATTGCTCTGCTGCCTTCTATTTCAAAAATCTATGAAAAGGTTGTTTATAACCAACTTGTATGTTTCTTTGAAAATAATGGTATATTTGATGACTGCCAACATGG